GAGAGAGACAGAGCATGAGCGGGGGAGGGGCAGAGAGAGAGAGGGAGACACAGAATCCAAAGCAGGCTCCAGGCTCTGAGCTGTCAGCACAGAGCCCAACGCGGGCTCAAACCCGTGAACTACAAGATCATGACCTGAGCTGAAGTTGGGCACTCAACCGACTGAGCCGCCCAGGCGCCCCAGTAATTTTTTTTTAAAGTTTATTTATTTTGAGAGAGTGCATAGGAGGGGCAGGAGAGAGAGAGAGAGACAGAGAGAGGGAATCCCAAGCACTGTCATTGTAGAGTCCAATGCAGGGCTCAAACTCATGAACTTCAAGACCACGACCTAAGCCAAAATCCAGAGTCAGACACGTAAATGACTGAGCCACCGAGGTGCCCCGGAAATAAATTTCTACTGTTTCAACCCCCCCTGTCTGTGGTATCTTGTTATGTAGCAGATCTGACCAAGATACCAGACTGCCATGTGTCCCCTGGGGGACGAGTATTGGCTTAGACCGTGATGCACGATTACTGTATCATTTAGGTTGGCAAGATGTTGGGCTGTTTGGAGAAGGTTTGGGGGGGAGGATTTCAGGCCTAGAAATGGCATCTGGAAAATTCCTTGGGGGGCAGAGAGGCCGGGGTGCCCAGGGGCCCACGGAAGGCTGTGCAAAGGGAGCAGAGGGAAGGGGAGCATGGTGTGAGCTGACTAGAGAGGGTGGGGCTCTGGAACATTCAGGCCTGGAAGCATGAATCCTGGCCTGTGTCCTTAGGCTGCTGGGAGCCAGGGATGTGTTTGGGTGAGCAGTGCTGTGCATCTGTGGTTTTAGCAGAACCCTCTAGCACCTGGGGGGTGGCAGGGCCTCAGGGAGGGTGGAGGGGTGCGTGGAGGCAGTGAGGAACAGAGTGGTCGTGGCCTAGGCCCCAGGTGAGTGCAGAGTGGGTGTGGCGGGGTCCCTGAGACAGTACCAGGTCGTGGCCATTCGCTAGGAAACCCAGGCCTCGGCCTGCAGTCGTGCTCAAGGTGGTGATTTATCACAGCGAAGGGACACAGAGCTGAGTCCTTGGCGCATGAGGTGAAGTCTGGAGGAGTCCAGGCCCGAGCTTCCGGAATCCTCTCCCAGTGGAGTCACACAGGACGTGCTTAATACCCCCTGCAGCAAGCCGAGACAACACACGTGAGGTGATGTCTACCAGGGGAGCTCAGTAGAGGCTCAGAGCGCAGGTTTTCACTCGGGGCTGGTCACACAGGCACCCTTGACTCTGCCTTGAAGTACTCTTAAGTCAGGCGTGCACCTGACTCTGGTCAGCGTGTCCCAGCCTCCCGAAGGAAAGCAGGCGTTCGGCACAAACCCCAGTGTTCGTAGAAGGAATTTAAGCAGGGTGAGCCCCTCTTACCAGTTAAGGTGCTGGGAAGCCTCTCAAGATCCGTGTTCCCAAGGGCCGCCAGTCAGGCCTGTGCGGTTAGCTCTGGTCTACACAGTAGGGAATTGCGGAGTGATTTAAGGCCTGTGTGGGTGGTCGAGTTGAGATAATTTGCTGAGTCCCGTATACTTTCATTTACCAGACAATCTGGAGCATTCCTGTACCAAGTGGGGCGGGGGGCGGTGAAAGGAGAGGGGCCCAGGCTTGTTTTCGCGAAGCTTCCAGTCCCACAAAGGTGGCAGAAAATACACACCTAAGGCAGCAGATAACCACGTGGTACAAATAGGTGATGGCTGTGAGGAAAGGGGGACGGTCCTTCTAGAGAAAGGAAGGACACTGGGGAGGGGGAGGTGCTCTGAGGGAGTGACCTTTCAGTGGACTCAGAAAGGAAAGGCCTGATGTGGCATTAGCCACAGTGAGGACAGGGGTAGGAGGAAGGGGAGTGGCGGGGGGGATGCTCCCTGTAGAGATGGCGGCACTGATTTTCTTTTTTTGGATTACTTGTTGGGGTCTGGAGAGCGTCAGGGAGGGGTGAGAGGCGTGGATATCACTTCCTGAGATCAGGGGCACTGGAAAGAGAACAGGCTTTGAGAATGAGGCGATGAGCACATATTTTGGGGAGGGGGGGGGGACGAGACAACAGAAATTCATGTCTCGCGGTTCTAGAGGCCAGAAGTCTGAGATCAGGGTGCTGGTGGGGCTGTGCTGCCTGCGAGGCCTGGAGGGAGGCTCCTTCCTGGCATCCAGTGGCGGCTGGCAGTCCCTTGGCCTGAAGTTACATGGCTCCGGTCTCGGCCTGCATCGTCACGTGGTCTTCTCCCCTCGTGTGTCCCTGCTTCTGTCTTTCCTCCTCTTATGACACCAGTCATACTGGGTTTGGGGCCCCCCCGACTCCACTGTGACTTCGTCTTAGCTAATCACACCTGCCAAGACCCTCTTCCCAAGTAAGGTCACGTTTTGAGGTACTGGGGAGGTTACGACTCCATAACTCTGGGGGGGCGCAATTCAACCCATGACGGTCTGCCCTCTGTACCCCCCCCCACAACCAAATTCATGTCCTCCCCAGATACCAAGTACACTCAGATGATCTTGACACCCCCAGAGTGGGTGTCTTGACACCCACTTCAGCATCGACTCCCAAGTCCCAAATCTCATCAGCTCAGAAAAGTCCTTGTGTCCTCATACGAATCATCCAAATCAGGCATGGGTGAGATTCAGGGTGTGGTCCGTCCCGGGGGGCAAAATTCTTCATCTGTGAACCTGTGAACCGAGGAAACAAGTCCTCTGCTCCCATAATGCAGTGGTGGGACACGCACCGGGCGCTTGTTCCCTCTCCCGAAGGGAGAGAAAGAAGAGGTTATGGGTCCCAAGCAAGCTCCACACCCAGAAGGGCAAGTTCAAGGCTTGATGGCAATCCTCTGCTTGTGGTGGTGGGGGGGGGTGCGAGGGGAGGAGGGGGGCAGTAGTCCCACCCCCAGCTCACTGAGTCCCCAGGACAGATGAGTGGGGACACGAGCTGATGGTGTGGAGGTGGGTCTGGAGTTGAGGGGGGAGAGTCAGCCCGGGGTCTGGGCCTGGTCAGGCCATGAGGCTGCCTGCTGAGGCAGAGGCTAAGGGGAGTGAGGACAGGGGTCACAGTCGCATGAGGGACGGAGGAGGGTCTTGTACGGAGGAGGCTGGGGCCGTGGTCACTGAAGCCCCCGGGGTGGTGGGCTTCAGTGTGGAAGGATGGAGGGCCGAACACATGACTGGATCCCCACCGTAGATGGGGGTCGCTGGTGGTCCGAGTGCGGTGCCTGTCCTTGAGATCATGAGTGAGCGGGAGGTGAGGAAAGGGACACAGAGGATTGGTTGCCCACGGCGGGGAAGCAAAAACATTATGCATTATGTAGAGGGAAAAGCAGAGTGTTGTGGCTTAAATTGCGGTGCCCCCCCAAAAGATCCATTGAAGTCCTAACCGCCGGTACCCGTGACCGGGACTGAGACCTTACTTGGAAATAGGGTCTGTGCAGCTGCAGGTTAAGATGAGGTCATGATGCGGGGGCCCAGAGTGACTGGTGTCCTTTTAAGGAGAAAACACCAGGTGCAGACAGGGACGCTCGGGAGAGGACGGCCATGTGATGACAGGTGCATAGATCGGAGGGACGCAGCTGCAGGCCAAGGAGCACCCAGGATTCTGGACAGTCGCCGCCAGAAGCCAGGAGGAGGCGAGGAGGGATTCTACCCAGAGCCTCAGAGGGAGTGAAGCCCTGCCGCCACCTTGGTCCTGGACTTGTGGCCTCCGGAGCTGAGACAGAAGATGTATCTGGGTTTTGAGCCTCTCAGTTGGCGGTGCTTGGTTACAGCAGCCCCAGGAAAGGCATACATGGGGTCAGAGGTTGGACGTGGGTCAGGGTTCTGTGTTTTTGTTTTTTTTAATGATTAGATGCAATTAATTTTCTTTATTTGCATGATATGCTTTGTTTTTCAGTTCAGGATTAGTTCCCAGGGGGAAAGGTCCTGTGGCAGGGGGAGGTGAGCATGTAGGGAGACAAGGGATGGTGGGGGAGGTCACTCGCTCACCTGTCACGGGCCCCGGGCGGATGGAGGGGTGTGGTGGATTTGAAGGCAGGAAGGGGAGATCCTTCCTTCTCGTAGGCGGACCCCTGGGGTCGTGGCCGCTTCTCTGGCCCCTGCTTGTGCTAAGTCCTGGGCTGCCCCTGGCCCTGCAGAGTGGGGTAGAGGAAGGAGCTGAGCAGCTTGGGAGGGAATGCTGACCCAGGGCTGAATCAAGGGGCAGTGGGGGTGCCCCAGAAACCCCAGGGTCTGTCGACGTGGGACTGTATAACTCCAGAGATTTGGAACGGAAGCAACATGTGCATATATGTGCGTGTTTGCACGTGTGTCCGTGTGTCTGTCTGTTTCTGTGCGTGTGTACTCGTCCGTGTGTGTCTGTGCGTCCGTGTCTCCGTGCATGCGTGTGTGAGTGCATGCACGTGTGTGTCCTCGTGTGTGTGCATGTGTGCCTAAGCACGCAAGTGTGTGTGTGTGTGTGTGTGTGTCGTACGTGCGTGTGCATACGTGTGTGCACCTGTGGTCGCTTCACCGTTTTGGGGCGGGCAGCCCAGGGGTCCTGTGGGTGTGCTCACTGGGCCTCCTGGCTGCCCTCTCCTGTAGCTCTGCTTGCCCAGGACCCCGCCTGGCTCCAGAAGGAGAACACAGAGGGGGAGTCTGTGGCTCCTGGGATGCTGCTCAGCTGTCCGCAGGTGAGTAGGAAACCCCTGTTGCTCAGGCCCTGATTCTCCTCCCTCGGCCTGGAGCTTCTCGCCCCCACAGGGCTGGTGTCCAGGCTCCTAGGCCCTGGGCCTCGTATAGTGTCAGAATCGGTGGGGGGAGGGATGTGGGGGCAGCCCAGGTGGTCATCCCGCCCCTTCGTTCAGACCTTCCCTAGCCGAGCAGTGCCTGGTTCTACTGGGCACCAGGAGGGAAAACAGCAAGGTTGTGAGCTGTCCTTGTTCGCTAGTCCTCACGGTTTCCCGGGACAGATAGCGGTCATTTACCACGTGTTTCTCTCTTGTCTGCCACGTGCTCAGGCCTGTGGGACCCTGGAGCCGGAGGGGAATAAAACTGCCATGGCTTCCCAGCTGGTAGCTAAGTCCTTCGATGCCACACCTCTGGATGCTGTCCCTCGGGGACAAAGGTGCAGATGGAGGAGAGTTCTAGTTCTGGGGCCTGAGCCAAGGGGCAGCCTCCGAGAGACCTCGGGGCCCCGTGTGACAATCCTCTGCACGGTCTTCCTTCCCCAGGCCGGCCCCTCACCAGCCTCTTGGGTACTGGTGGGGGTGCCCCCTGGCTGAGCCGGGACGGGTGTGTGTTTCAGGAACCAGTCACCTTCGAGGATGTGGCTGTGTTGTTCACTCCGGAAGAATGGATGTTTCTAGACTCTGCCCAGAGAAGCCTGTACAGAGATGTGATGCTGGAGAACTATAGGAACCTGGCCTCTGTGGGTAAGGCCAGCCCCGTGGCTTCACCCACATACCCATGCAGGCCCTACGGGTTCCCGGAATTGTGCCGGTTTGGGAAATCGAGAGGCAAAAAAAGAGAAATCCTGCCCTCACGGTGCTTACGGTCTAGCAGCTTCCCTGTGGCGATGGAGGTCTCTCTGCTGCTTTCTGTTTCTCCACAGTTAAAAGTGTCTGGGCTTTTCTAGTGCCTCTCTGAGTCAGGCCCTGGGTTTTGGGGACTGGAGAATCCCATTATCCTTTGGGACCCAGTGAGGGAGCTTGTACTTTGGCCCCTTAGTGGAAGGGCCCGACCGTGCCCATCGGAATTTAGGGGTGCTCATCTTGTTCTTCCCATCTCCGGTGCCCCCTAAAGACGTCAGGATACGGGCCCCGGTTTACTGGCAGGCACGGCTCACGCCCTGCGTATTTCCCCACGAGCAGGAGATCAGCTCGGCAAATTCAGTTCGTTTTCCCATTTGGAGCAAGGAGAAGAGTGGTGGCCGACGGAGAGAAGAGTCTTCCCGGGAAGCTGCCCAGGTGACGCTTTCAGTGACCTTGACGAAGCCGCTCTACTGGATGCCACCGCCTTCCCTCTTTATCCCGAATACTTTACTCTGGTTTCACAGGATGATTTGTCCTGCCTCCTCGTCACCTTGGTCACCTCCGTGTGTCTGTTTTATCCTGCGTGTGTTTTCCGCGGATGTAGCGTGTGCATGTTTTATCCGGTGCCTCCCCGCCCCCCATATGTTCTTGCTAACACTTTCTCTCAATTTCGGCCTCAACCTTCATAGGCTCCTTTCTCAGTAACTTATCTACCATTTCTAATCCTTGTTGCTGTGGTTACATAGCTCCTTACAGAGCCAGATGCCTTAACATTTCCTGGACACTCTGATACATCCCTCCCCTTCCCAGTTTCTTCCCGTACTTAGAATCAGTATTAAAAAAACACAAAACCCCACATGCCCTGCTTATTCTTCTGGTTTCCCTGTTTGTACAGTTTTCTCTGTGCACTTACTTTTTCCTTCCTTGTCCATTTCAGAACCTTCGCTTCCACCCCAAGGTTCAATTCCTAACCAAGATATTTTTGCAGAGATTTCTGTTGGCATGGAAAGGGTAAGGCACCCAAGGAGCATTCTCGGTTCTGTTGTAGGACGAGTCTGGGGTTGCTGCAGGTTAGAAAAGCAGGGCTGCCTGGCTGGCTCATTCAGAGGAGCCTCCGACTCTTGACCTCGGGGTGGTGAGTTTGAGCCCCATGTTGGGTGTAGAGATTGTTTAAATCAATCAATCTTTTTAAAAAAAAATTTTTTTAATGTTTATTTATTATTGAGAGACAGAGCACGAGCAGGGAAGGGACAGAGAGAGAGGGAGACGCAGAATCTGAAGCAGGCTCTAGGCCCTGAGCCGTCAGCACAGAGCCTGATGCGGGGCTCGAACTCCCAAACTGGGAGATCATGACCCGAGCCGAAGTCGGACGCTTAACTGACTGAACCCCCCGGGCGCCCCAAATAAATCAATCTTAAGAAAGAAAGAAAGAAAGAAAGAAAGAAAGAAAGAAAGAAAGAAAGAAATAGCATGAGGCCAGAGAGAGAGAGAGAGAGATTGATTCAAGGTGAGTGGTGCTCACCCAGGAGAACACAGTGTCCTGGGAGAGAGTCTGTGAAAGTCATGAATTGGGGAAAACTCTACGTGTAGATTAAGGCATGTGTCTTCGCAGAGTTCCCACAGGCAACCGCTTGCACCAGTGAACAGGTACCAAGTGTTTAAGGCTCCGTGTGGCTTTAACTCGGCAAAACTCTGCATCTGAGAGGCCTCATGAAAGTAAAGACAGTGACAGTGCTTTGTGGGCAGCATCCCCTTGAAGGGACTCGGGGCGGAAATGGTCCAGACTCACTAAGAGAGTAGATACTAAAAGGCATCTACGCCTCGGCTGTCGATACCTTTCCCCTACGCCCAGTTGCCCCCCCGGGGGGAGAATGTCTGTGAACACAATAAAGCCTCAGGTCTTCGTATTTTCCTCCATCGACAGGGGCGGCCTCAGGCGGGAGAAAACCTCTACGAACGCAGTGAACTCGGAAAACCCTCGCCCGGCGTCCGACCGCTTTTTCAGTACCGGAGCATTCGTGCTGGAGGCGACCCCTGCGAATGCCCAGAGAGCGGAAGATCCTTCTTCCAGCCCGCTCGGCTCCTCGTGCCTGAGAAAATCCGCCGTGGGGACAGAACCTTCGCGTGTCGCCAGTGTGAGAAGTCCTTCAGATACAGCTCCGACCTGATCAGGCACGAGAAGACCCACACCGCGGAGAAGTGCTTTGAGTGTCAGGAGTGTCGGCAGACCTTCAAGTACTCCTCGAATCTGCGGCGTCACCTGAGGACTCACACCGGAGAGAAGCCCTTCGAATGTGCCCAGTGTGGGAAAACCTTCACCAGGAACTTCAACCTGATTTTGCACCAGAGAAACCACACGGGCGAGAAGCCCTACGCGTGTAAGGACTGTGGGAAAGCCTTCAACCAGCCGTCCTCCCTGCGGAGCCACGTGAGGACTCATACCGGCGAGAAGCCCTTCGGGTGCAGTCAGTGTGGGAAAGCCTTCAGGGAGCACTCGTCGCTGAAGACGCACCTGCGAACGCACACCCGGGAGAAGCCGTACGAATGCAGCCAGTGCGGGAAGCCCTTCCGGACGAGCACGCACCTGAACGTGCACAAGAGGATACACACCGGGGAGAAGCTGTACGAGTGCGCTACGTGCGGCCAGGTGCTGAGTCGCCTCTCGACCCTCAAGAGTCACATGCGAACCCACACCGGAGAGAAGCCCTACGCGTGCCAGGAGTGCGGGCGCGCCTTCAGTGAACCTTCGTCCCTCCGGAAACACGCGAGGACCCACACGGGCAAGAAGCCCTACGCGTGTCAGGAGTGCGGGCGCGCCTTTGGTCAGTCTTCACACCTAATCGTGCACGTGAGGACCCACACCGCAGGGAGGCCCTACGCGTGCAGTCAGTGTGAGAAGGCCTTCAGGCACAGCTCTTCGCTCGCCGTGCATAAAAGGGTTCATGCCGGGAGAGAAAGTGCTAAGAGCGGTGGCCTGCCTCTATCAGTGTCCCAGCCGTATGTCGGGCCCCTTGCTGATTAACGTTCGACTTTTATTTTTTTAATTTAATTTTTTAATTATCTGAGAGAGAGAGAGAGAGAGAGAGAGAGAGAGAGAGAGA